CACCCACTAGGCACCCTCCTACTCCCAGGAACCGCCGCAACCCCCTCAACCTTATACCTGTCCCCCTTCTCCCCGCATCCACCCCTCCACTCTCAGTTGCACTCCTGAACGCCTGATCGGTTTGCAACAAGCTCACCGCCATCCATGACCTCTTTATCTCCCACTCCCTCAACCTCCTAGCGGTCACCGAAACCTGGATCCAAGCCACTGACTCCACCTCCCCTGCGGCATTCTCCTATGGAGGTCTCGTCTGGTCCTATTCACCCAGACCGAGCAGTCATAGAGGTGGTGGGGTCGGCATGCTCTTGTCACCGCTGACCACCACCTTCCAGGTCCTCCCAAACCCCCCCTCTCTATCCTTCTCCTCCTTTGAGGCCCACTGCATCCAACTCTTCTCCCCCACCCCTCTGAGGATTGCAGTAATCTATCGGCCTCCTGGACCCATATCCCGCTTCCTTGACGACTTTTCCGATCTGGCTACCCTTCTTCCTCTCCTCTGAGCTACCCACCATCATCCTTAGAGACTTCAATATCCCTATCAATGTCAACAACCCGGCTACATCCCAACTCCTCCACTTAACCTCTTCTTTTGCACTCACACAGTGAACACAGTCCTCCACCCACACGGGAACACCCTGGACCTCGTTTTTCTCCCATCTCTGCACCCTCCACAACCTCACAAACACCCCTTTCCCTCTCTCTGACCACAACCTCATTACGTTCTCCATCTCCCCATCCTCAAACACCTCCCCCCCAAACGTCAAACCATCACCAGCTGTAATCTCCGCAACCTAAACCCGGCCTCTCTCTACTCTGCAGCTGACCGTCTGTACGACAGTATCCTTCTACTGTCATGCCCTGACCTGGCCACTACTGTGTATAACAACACGCTATCAGCTGCCTTAGACTCCTTAGCACCCCTAACCTCACGTAGCATTAGACCCTGACCGCTTCAACCCTGGCAGAATGACCACACTAAAAATCTTAAACGCCGCAGTCGTGCGCTGGAACGATTATGGCGCAAAACCAAATCCCCTCGAGCGTTCTCCCTCTACAAATCCGCCTTCCTCACCTACTCCTCCTCCCTCCATGCCGCCAAACAAGCCTACTTCGTAACCCTCATCAACACCCTCTCCACCTGTCCTCGGCGGCTCTTTTCCACTTTCAACTCCCTACTCTCTCCCCCCCCACCCCCATCCAGTACCTCACTCACCACCTACGAGATCGCCAATCCCTTCCAAAATAAGTTAGGCACAATCCATAAGGACATCGCCAATGCTCAACCTACCTCCCCACCTAGCCTCCCTCCCACTATAAACCCATCAACTCTCCCCTTCTCTGACCTCGCAACCGCCCTACCCCCCACCACACCTAACATCCCACACACTATAACCTCCCCAACACTCCGCTCCTTCAGCCTTGCTACCACTGAGGAGGTCACTAAGGTCTTCTCAGAAGCCCGCCTCACCACTTGCCCCCTTGACCCTGTCCCCACACAACTCCTCCGGTCACCCTCCTCCTCCATTCTACGCTCCCTCACCGACATCTTTAATCTCTCCCTCTCTACTGGCGCATTCCCCTCCCCCCTAAAGCACGCGTACATCACCCCCATACTCAGAAAACCCTCCCTGGACCCCACCAACCTGAACAACCTTAGACCCATCTCCCTGCTGCCATTTACTTCCAAGCTCCTTGAGCGCTTAGTCTACAATTGCCTAAGCGCTCATCTCACTGACAACAACCTCCTCGATCCACTACAGTCTGGCTTCCATCCCCTACACTCCACCAAAATCACTAATGACCTGCTAACCGCCAAAGCTAATGCCCACTACTCAGTCCTCTTACTCCTCGACCTTTCCGCTCCTTCGACACAGTTGACCACCCCCTCCTCCTTAATAAACTACAATCCCTCAGCATCAGAGACTCCGCGCTCTCCTCCTACCTATCCCAACGCTCCTTCAGCATTACCTATAATGCTACCACCTCCCCCTCTCTCCCCCTCTCTGTTGGGGTCCCCCAAGGCTCTGTCCTCGGGCCCCTTCTCTTCTCCATCTACACCTCCTTCCTCGGCAAACTGATACACTCCCACGGCTTCAACTATCACCTCTACGTCGATGACACGCAAATTTACCTCTCCACCCCTCGTCTCACCCCTTCAGTCTCTGCCCATATCACCCACCTACTGAACGACATATCAGACTGGATGTCGCTCCATTTCCTCAAATTGAACCTTTCCAAAACCGAGCTCCTGATTTTCCCCCGAGCCCGCACCCCCCCCCCCCCCCCCCCCCCCCCTCCATCATGACCAACATTGCCACCATCAGTCCCACCCCGCAAGCCAAAGTCCTAGGTATCACTGTAGACTCAAACCTGTCCGTCCAATCGTTGGCAAACTCATGCAGGCTCCACCTCCGCAACATCTCCAAAATACGTACGTTCCTAACCCCAGACACTACTAAACAACTCGTTCACTCCCTTATTATCTCATGTCTGGACTACTGCAACTCCCTTCTCACCGGCCTACCTCATCACAGACTATCCCCGCTTCAGTCTATCCTGAACTCAGCGGCCAGACTCATCCACCTTACCAACCGCTCCGCTTTTGCCACCCCCCTCTGTCATTCCCTCCACTGGCTCCCGATTGCCCAACGCATTAAATTAAAACTAACACAGACATACAAAGCCATTCATAACGCTGCCCCAAACTACCTCACTGACCTGATACCCAAATACCACCCAACTCGTACTCTTCGCTCCTCACAAGACCTCCTACTTCTAGCTCCCTGGTCTCTTCCTCCCATGCCCAACTGTAGGACTTCTCCAGGACTTCCCCCATCCTCTGGAACTCACTACCCAAATCCATCAGACTGTCACCTACCCTCCTCACCTTTAGGCGCACCCTGAAAACCCATCTCTTCAGGGAAGCCTACCCCGCCCTCACCTAACAGCCGATCTCCTCCACTCCTCCTACCACTCCATCCCCCACAGCCACTTCCTCCTGTACCACTATCCCCTCCCTCCTAGATTGTAAGCTCGAAAGAGCAGGGCCCTTGACCCCCTCGTGTTTTGTTTTGTTACTGTATTGTCTCATGTTCTGTCCCCCGCTATAATGTACAGCACTGAGCAAACCTTTTAGCACTATATAAATACTGTATATTAATAATAATAAACACAGCAGCCAATCAGTTAAAGTAGAACTGTGGCCTCCCATTTAAAAAAAAAAATCTGTTTTACAGTACTAAATTGTAGGGGCATTTAACCCCCTGCAAGGTCTCACAAATACCTTATTATCCTGTCAGCGAAGTCCACCTAATGCAGGTTCCTGATGGGGTGACAACAATGCTGCACTGCTCCTGAGTTCAGAGCAGAGTTGCCACCCTTGTGTAGGCTGTGTCTGCTTGTACTACAGTGGGGGAGGAGATGATGTTACAGTGGGTGTGTCTATCAGCATGGCCACCAAGCCCTCCCCACTGTGAACTTTCTAAGGACTGTGTATAGTAACTGAAGTAGGACTCATCTATGCATGCTTTGCCCTCTGAAGGCGGGGTGTTCTGTCACCTCCTCACTGCCTGTTTTCACCCCTAATAACCCACACCACAACCACATGCATTGCACACAGTTGTGTGTAGTAGTTGTGCCACAGCTCTGTTCAGTTGAACTGGTTGCGTTCTGTGGGCGGTACTGCCTGCGGAACGTGACAGTTGGTGATAACTGACCACAGCTTACAAAGCCATCCACAACACTGCCCCTAGTTACATCACCAACCTCATCCACAGATATTGCCCAAATCACCCACTCCACTCCACAAGATATCTTCCTCTCTAGCTCCCTCATCACCTCCTCCCACGCTCACCTCCAGGACTTCTCCAGAGCCTCTCCCATCCTCTGGAACTCCCTACCACAGTATGTTTGGTCAGACCCCACTCTGTCTGCCTTTAGTTGATCTTTGAAAACTCACTTATTCAGGGAAGCCTACCCCACCTCCACCTAAGAACTGTATTTGAATCACCTGCACCAGATCATCCCCGTAGCTATCACCTTTTGTGCCACCTCCCCTTTCCTTTAGATTGTAAGCTCCATGAGCAGGGCCCTCCTATTCCTTCTGTACTGAAATGTATTGTAATTTATACTGTCTCCCTTATATTGTAAAGCGCTGCGCAAACTGTTGGTGCTATATAAATCCTGTATAATAATAATAATACATTCCTCCACAGTGCAAAGCATTGCAGATGTGGCATGTGTACACCCCTGTCCACTGCCTTTGCAGCATGGTATTACCCCCCCACATCAGGCAGTCATACACAAGACAAGCCTTTAGTTGTACTTTACTGCCCATCTTGCAAATCAAGTTATTCTGATCAATTGTTTTTCTCACACATGTTTATTTAGGACACGGGTGGGCAGCATCAGCTTTATGGCTGCCCTCAAAGGGCCGGTTGTATTTGTAAGACTAGATGTCCAGAGCACCCCACATCAGATATCAAGAGCCCCCCTACCATCAGAAGTCAGGAGCCCCTACCCCCACCTTCCCTTACATCACAGCTCACCCACCTTACCTTATGCTGCTGGGATGAAGTTGGGGGTGGAGGGGAAAAGCAGAACGTGCAGGGTCTGGAAGAGGACCAGAGGAGGGCTGGAGTCAGCTGCTGAATGCTGAGACCAGGGGAGGCGGAGACGAGGAGGTACTGTGGCTGCACACAGAGGCGTGGGATCTGTAGGAGGAGTTCTGTCCTCCTCTCTCAAATCAACTGCTGAAAATGGGGGGGCAAAGATGAGCCTCTCCTCGGCTGCATGGAGAAGTGCAGGATCTGGTTGTGGTGGTTTGTCCTCCTCTCTGTTGATGACTGCTGAGACTTGGTGGGGGTGGACACAAGGAGGTGCTGCAGGAGAGGTGTGAAATGACCTGCTGGGCCGGATTTGGCTCACAGACCTTGTGTTTGACACATGTGATTAGGACATACATACACACACTCACCCCCTTTTCTTCCCTTCTCTTGTAGGGTGAAGTTCTGGGCAGATACCTTGGGCAGCGAGGTGTACTCCATCATCACCAAATACTCTGGCTCCCTCCTGCTACAAAAGGTACTCGCATGTCATTTCCTAACAATATTACCAATGTAACAGGCTGTTCCAGACAATGTGTAATAAAGGTCAAAGCCAGGTTTAGTCCCCATTCACCTCTAGCTACAACACAGTTTTACCGCATTTTGAAATACCCAATTTTTGTTGTGTTTTTGGAAAGTGCAGTTTTGAGTGTGACAAAATGAACTTTTTTATGCACTTGGGGTGTCAATAATAATAAGGGCACCAAAATGCCCACTGCACATTTTTCCACGGTTATACCGTGTTTCAGAATTGTGGGAAGAATCTACCGGCGATTCCAAGATGCCCAGATGTGAACGGGGCCTATATCGGTTCAATTGGGCAACTCATCTGTTTTTTCAGATTAAGTACAGCTTGCTAAGTAATCTGTCAGTGTAACACTTGCAGTTATTAAAGAATATGTAAACCCAACATGTAATTTTTTCCTGATATGTGCCTGCTGTACCATGTGCTTGTATGAAAAAGTATCCTGTTCTCTTTGTATTGTTTCTTTTGTGTGAAATCTCTAGTGTTCCTATCAGTCCCTCTGCTTTCCTAATAAAAACTGACCACACTAGGCATGAGAGTGCAGCATGGCCAGTTTTCTAGTTGTGCTGGGAACTCAGTGTGTTCGCCTTCAATCATCAGACTTGTCCTGACATCCCTCTTTGCAAAGCCTTTCACTGGGAAGACCAGTGTACTACTGTTTCTCCTCCCCCAGCTCTCTGAGTTCCTTATGCCGCTGAGAACAGAGGGTATGCAATCACCTATAAAATGGGGAAAAAATTGTTTTTTATAATTTTTTTTTTATATCTATACACAAATGTTTTACCTTTTATTTTCATTTTAAACGGTTGGTTGTTTTACAAGGATAGAATTTACATATACTTTAACTACCTCTCATAGAGATCACAGTAATCCCCCTGACAATGCCTCTATATATTTTTTCCTCCAGAAGGGCAACCCCATGTTTGTTCAGGCATCCTCCAGGGTCAGCATCTTCTTCCTGGAATGAGATAGCAAGTCAAAGATGAACAGTCATGTAAATCCGTGTGTCCGTGCAGTTTCTGGTACAGATCAGCCTCTACTACAGCTTCTCACCTTGTGACTTGCTACAATGTTAAAGTGTTGTAGTCTGATGACTGAGAGAGAAGAGACTGAATCTGGGCCCATTCACACCAGCCTGGTCTGCTCTTAAACTCTTGGGATATTGATCTGATCAGTTAAGTAGCAGAGGGGGTTGTTAATCAGTTTCAGCTGCTTGGTGTTAATGAAATTAACAACAGGTGCACTAGATGGGCAACAATGTGACGACCCCCAAAACAGGAATGGTTTTACACGTGGAGGCCACTGACATTTTTTTCCTTACTCATCTTTTCTGTCTTTTTTTCACTAGTTTTGCATTTGGCTAGGTTTATTGTCACTACTGGTAGCATGAGGCGATACTTGGACCCTACAGAGGTTGCACAGGCAGTCCAACTCCTCCAGGATGGCACATCAATACGTAACATTGCCAGGTTTGCTGAGTCTCCCAGCACGGTCTCAAGAGCATGGAGGAGATTCCAGGAGACAGGCAGTTACTCTAGGAGAGCTGGACAGGGCTGTAGAAGGTCCTTAATTCATCAGCAGGACCGGTATCTGCTCCTTTGTGCAAGGAGGAACAGGATGAGGACTTGCAGAGCCCTACAAAATGACCTCCAGCAGGCCACCGGTGTGAATGTCTCTTACCAAACAATCAGAAACAGACTTCATGAGGGTGGCCTGAAGGCCTGACGTCCTCTAGTGGGCCCTGTGCTCACTGCCCACACGATAGAGCTTGATTGGCCTTTACCATTGAACACCAGAATTGGCAGGTCCGCCACTGTTGCCCTGTGTTTTTCACAGATGAGAGCAGGTTCACCCTGAGCACATGTGAAAGGGTGTGGAGAAGCCATGGAGAACATGCTGCCTGTAATATGGTTCAGCATGACCATTTTGGTGGTGGGTCACTGATGGTCTGGGGAGGCATATCTATGGAGGGATGCACAGACCTCTACAGGCTAGACAATGGCACCCTGACTGCCATTAGGTATCGGGATGAAATCCTTGGACCCACTGTCAGACCCTATGCTGGTGCAGTGGATCCTGGGTACCTCCTGGTGCACAGCAATGCCTGGCCTCATATGGCGAGAGTATGCAGACAGTTCCTGGAGAATGAAGGAATTGATACCATTGAATGGCCCCCACACTCACCTGACCTAAATCCAATAGAACACCTCTGGGATATCATGTTTTGGTCCATCCAACACCACCAGGTTGCACCTCCAGGAGCTCAGTGGTGCCCTGGTCCAGATCTGGGAGGAAATACCCCAGGACACTTTGGGGTTTATTTACTAAAGCTGGAGAGTCCAAAATCAGACTCCCTTCTGCATAGAAACCAATCAGCTTCCAGGTTTCATTGCCAAAGCTTCATTGAACAAGCTGAGGTTAGAAGCTGATTGGTTTCTATGCAGAAGGGAGTCTGATTTTGGACTCTCCAGCTTTAGTAAATAAACCCCCATACGTCATCTCATTAGGAGCATGCCCTGACATTGTCAAGCATGCTTACAAGCACATTGGGGGCCATACAAACTACTACCATTTTGAGTTGTTGCAATGAAATTTCAGCACAATGGACTCGCTTGCTGCATAATTTTTTCACTTTGATTTTCGGTGTGTCTTTGAATTCAGTCCTCTGTAGGTTGATGATTTTCACTTCCAATTCTGGGGCATCCTTACGTTCCTAACACATTACCCAGTCCATATCACTATAGATATCCAGCATGATATTTCCCCCCATTGAGATCTGATGTGTTTTTCAAAGCGTTCCTTTAATTTTTTTGAGTAGTGTAGTTATGCTGAGCTTCATACCTCCAAAATATCATGACCGCACAATCTGCGTATTTGTGTGCAACCCTCAAACGTTCACCCTTGTTTGCAGGTTACAGGTTCTCCTTGTAATCAGCTGTGTATTTAGTTTCTTTGCCTTACTGGTCGCTCTGATCCCACTTCAGAGACCAGCTGTGTACTGGATCCACACGGAGTTTGTGCTGCAGATTCATGGGTCTGAACTGGTCACATGTCACGGTATTAAGCGGGTCATATGACCTCTACGAGGACAGCTAGCCAGGAAGGATTAAGACAAGTGCGGGATTAGTCTGACAGACACGTGCCGGGTACAAGCAAGTAACTGACACATAAGAAGAATAAGAGGACCTGTCATCAAAAAGGCCAAAACGGCATGTGGGATATATCAGTCTTATTTTCCTTATGATGAGTATATTTAGCATTGTAATTAAATGGAGTATGTGTGTGCGTATGTGTGTATATATATATATTATATTTTTTTTCATTTATTTATAAAAAAATCTTGCTGCTACAGCCACCTAAAATCCATCTTTATATTATCTCCAGCATGGCATATATCAGACTGAGGGTGGGAGGTCCTCCAAGCTCTTTAGAATCTCACTATGTTGCCAGCATAACATGTTTCAGACACTGAGCACTGGAAGGAGGGTGTATATGACGTTTTCAGGAAGGGGGAGCACAGACAGGACCTGTTTGATGGCCAGTAAGCATGCAAGTGATACACAATGTTGCAAAACTGAATGGAAGGCAGTCAGGAAATACTCAAACTGATTCCTTCTGCACATTCTATGAGATAAAAATAGTGGTTGTAAACCCTTACATATACCCACTGAAGTGACTAGCCTCAGGTGATACACAGAAATGGAGCAAATCCTTCTACATAAGTTGTACCTGTTTATCTAAAGCACTCTGTCCTCTACAGGTTCCTAAGGCATACGTTTTACAAAGCATTCCTCAACTCTAGAAGGCAGGGATCTGACATCACACACTGCGCATAGTCCATAGAGCAGGGAGCTGAGTGTAATCTAAGACCTGAGTGAAGGGAAAGGACACTACTCCCTCTACACAGTCTTATAGGGAAATATGCAGAGCTAAGGCTTACAATCACCTGCTGTGCACTGGTGGAGGGGGGGCTGTCTCCCAGGTTTCTTTGGTGTCTGCATAACCTGTGTAGCGCTACCCTCGTTAGGGCCTCTGTGATGTGGGTATCCCTAAGCTTCTCACCGCACAGCCAGGCAACAGGTATTTTTCACAGAGATTTGCATCCAAGAGACAGTAACCAGTCCAGCTTGGTTTTGTTGTTTTCTTAGGGGACTTCAACTTGGATAGGGAAATAGGGATTATGGGATGCCTAAATTTGGCTTGAAACAATGGAAGGGGGGACACTTCCCTCCGATGTACAAAGCAGATCCTGGACTGTTCTTTTCCTTAAAGCCGTCAGTCATTGTGGATCAGTAGCGGCTGCCCTTTACGGGCGAGGAACTAGTAGCCCCTCAAAAAAAATCACTTTACTTCTTGTAGCTACGTGCAGAGGCATCTTCCCTCCCCCTTACGGAGCTGATCCCAGCTCCACAGCCGGCAACCACTACCAGCCCTCCTGGCTTCTCAGAAAATCTCCCGGGACAAGGATAAAGGATTAAGCTTGCTGCTTTCTTTAGAAAGCTTGCTATGTTTGGCAGTCTTCCTCTCTGTAAATCCCAAAGTGTGCTGCTGTACTCACACTGTCCCCTTGCTCCCTACTGCTTCAGGCCTTGATCCCATCCATGCGTCACCGCAGAATGTATCCTCCTGGGCCAGCTTGAGCCCAGGATAGAGGCCAGCCCCCCCCCCCCCTCCCCCAGACCTCGGGGACCCCCCCCCTGTAGACATCGTCAGTCTCCTCAGTACTCCACCTTTCACCTGTCAACCTGACTTCCCCATATTTATAGGCCAGTCCACCACTCTTCCAGGGCCTCCAAACCTAGAACTATTCTGTCCCCCCATGAATATGCAGATTGAGCCTCCACCCCTTCCTTCTGGTTCTGTAGTCCCCCTGAGCCAGGAGGAGGCAACAGAGCCACGACCTCAATCACATGACTCACACAACTACCATGAGTCTTCCACAATGATTTTGC